TCCCCGCAACCCCCTCCGCCCTCCCTCCTCCGCCCCCCGCACGGACTTTCCTCTCGTCCCTTTGTTCAGTTCTCGGCCTCTCCGGGAGCGCTCCGAGGCCGGCGGGCAGCAGCGGCAGCTCCGCACGTCGCGATCGCCGTAGCGAGGCTCGGCGCGGCTGCTTCCAGTGACCGCGCCCCAGCCCGGCCATGTACCCCCAGGGCCGGCACCCGGTGAGTCCCGGTACCCCCTCGGCACCCCGCAGCTCCCCTCCCTCCCTCCCTCCGCCCGCCCCGCTGCTCCCCCGCCCCGCTCCCGGTGCCCCCCCGGTAACCCCCGCGGGCGCTTCCCGCAGGCTCCGCACCAGCCGGGCCAACCGGGCTTCAAATTCACCGTGGCCGAGTCCTGCGACCGGATCAAGGACGAGTTCCAGTTCCTGCAGGCCCAGTACCACAGGTGAGCCCGGAGGGGACCCCCGGCCGCCCCCCCGCCCCGAGCCCCCCCCCGCTTTCCGCGGGGTCTCACCGTGCGCTCTCCCCCCCCAGCCTCAAAGTGGAGTATGACAAGCTGGCGAACGAGAAGACCGAAATGCAGCGCCATTACGTTATGGTGAGAGACTTTAATCAGATTTCGGATCAGCCTGCAAATGTCATTAGCTGCGAGCCTGCGAACGGGGGGGACCGGGGGACCCCCCCCCCCGGCACGGGCGCTGCCTGCCCGGGGACCCCCGGCGCGGGGGGGCGGCGGTGCCCGGCGCTCCGAGCTCCAGACGGCTGGAAGCGCAATCCCAAGTTTCCTGTTAACCCCTTTGAAGCGCTCCTGCGGCCGCCGAGGGGTCGGGGGGGAGGGCTGGAGCAGAGACCCCGAGCTCGGGGGGCGACCCTGGTGCTGCTGGGGGTCCCCCCCTTGCTGCCCCCGAGGCCACCCGGGAGCCATCCCGGCTTTCCCCCCCATCCTTCCCGAGGGAAACGGGCACTTTTGTTGGCTGGAAACGCTCTTTTTTTAAAGCTAAATTCGCATGGCGGGCACCCGGGTGGGCTCGGGGGGGTTCCTGAGGGGTTTGGCAGGATCCAGCCCCCCTTTCCCGTCCTCTCCCGGGGCTCCCCCGCTCCCTGGAGGGGGAACAGATCTCCCCCCGCCCTCGGTGAGAAGCTGGATTTTTGGCCAGACTCCGGGCTGTACCTGTTCTGCCAGGGCTGAGCAGACGCCTGTCACCCAGCTCTGCACCTCTTTGTTTTTCTAAGTAGCTTAGGAGGAGAAAACAGGAGTCAAAAGGAGTGTCCCCTCGTTAAGTGCCTGCCAGTTAAACCCATAAACATCTGCTTATTATAAGGTGTAATTTCCTTGGCTACCCGTGCTTTAAGCCCAGTTTTTGCCCAGGATGCTTTTTGGTAATGACCTTATGCAAATACCTCCTGCGAATTGAATTCAAATCCTCCTTGGTTCTCGTCTTTAATTGAATTTATTTCTTTTTTTTATTTTTTTTTCCTCTTTCTTCCCCCTGGTTCCCCAGTACTACGAAATGTCGTACGGTTTGAATATTGAAATGCACAAACAGGTGAGTAATTTCGAGGGGGGAAGTTGTGATTGATTGATCTCCTGTTGCCCTTTTCCTCCACCTGAGGTAAAATCGGCCCTGATTGCACTAAATAGGGAATAAGTGCTGGAGGCAGGGATGTGGCTCCAGGTGGGATCCCGTGGCCCGGCTGTTAAATTGGCAGCCGCGGCTCGATGGCACTGGCTGGGCTTATTTTGTCGATATTCACCAGGAATTTGGGTTTTTAGGCAGGGTGTTTATGCAGAGAGGTGAGAACAGCCTCTCCTCCCGTGCTGGGGAGGTCAATACCTGGAATAGCGCGTTCCCAAGGCTTGGAAAACACTGATAGGGGCTGCGCTGGCCTCCGCTGGTGTTGTGGGTACAACAGGGCTGTTTGTAAGGTCATCCCCTGCTCCCGGCCCTGCCGGAGCGTGAGAGCGAGCAGGGAATTATCTCCAGAGCTCCCCGTGTGTGTTGCTCAACGTCACCGGGCTGTCTTTGCATCTGGGAAATGAAGCAATGTTTGGGGCTGCTCGGGGTTTTGTCGGTTTGGGTTTTGTTTTCTCCCTCCCTTCCAGTCTCCTGTAATGTGTAACTTGCCCGAAGGAAAAAAATAGAGAAGGCCCCAGCAGAATGTGGTGTGCTACCTTGATAAGATTATCGGTAAAGAGCCTAAAGGCTGCGCACATGATGGTAAAACTTAAAGGAATAAAGTTATTACTGAGATTAGACCCGATTATTTGTGCTGCTGCTGCTTACTGGTTGTAGAAGGAGTTCTAATTAAGAACTTAAGGCAGATAGAAGTTGACATCAACTTCTGGGCTGGCAAATCAGCCCCATTCAACTCCAGAGTGCTTTGGTTTAATAGCGGCATCGCCCTCCTCGCCGGGCGCTGATGAGATGCAAAGCAGGAACGCGCCTCTCTTCTTCCCTCCGGAGTCACGGGGCAGCCAAAATAATTCCTGCTTAGTCTTCAGTTTGTTATAAATATCTGCTTCCCGCTCGGGGCCTGGCTGTCCTGCTGCGGGGCACCCCGAGCCCGGGGAGCGCGGCCGGCTCGGGGCTGGGGAACAGCCCGGGGTTCGGGATTGTGATGGGGAACGGCCTGGGATTCGGGATTGTGATGGGGAACGGCCCGGGGTTCGGGATTGTGATGGAGAACGGCCTGGGA